AAAACTGAACATCACATTGTTCTCGCAACCGTCTTATAGGCGCTTTAAGATTAGGACCGGGCTATGGCGACGCTAAGTCGTGAACACAGATGCTGCTTTACTTGTGTAAAACCAATCGATAATCTAACGTCTTTTCCCTCTTTGTTCTCTCTCGTGCTATAGTATTTAAATAAAATTGAAAGGTATATTATTATTGGAAGAAATGTTTGATTCTAAATACCACCGGTACTACGGTGCGGGAAGTTAGCCCCCCATTTTTTGATTTTTAATTTTTTTATTGTTGTTCTAGAGTTGTTCTACATTGTTCCAAAGCGGCAAATCGAAAAAATAAAAGCTCCGCGAGAAAACCGAAAAACGGGTTTCGTCAGATTTCGAAACAAGAATTTAACTTTCAACACCCTATGCCTCGAAAACCACTGACATTTGTATAAGAGATGTTACGTTAAATCATCATATTTTGATGTCTAGTATCTCCGGTATTCGGATTTCCCATTCTTTCTGACTCACTCTGTATAAGTTCCGATTCTAAGAATTTTTCTGTTTTATCTTTTAAAGTTGAGAAATATTTATTTAATTTTTTTGGGTTATATACCCAAAAATGAATGTTAAATTATCTCGTTTTAAATGTATTCAAAGTAATTCTGTCAATCCAGGAATATATNTGTTATTATTTTTATTTTTATCTATTTGAAAAAGATATGAATAAATGTTACTCAAATTTTCTGTATCTAACTTGAAATTTACAATATTATTTTCAGCGTTAATATGAAACATTTCAAGGAATAATCTATTATGATATTTTGATTCCTTATCCAAAATTATTGTGTTTTCAAAATTAAAAATATGGTTATAGTGAACAGCGTGTTTTGAGAGAGCACATGATGTTTTTTTCAGTTTGTCCAATGTATTTATCATTACAATCTTTACAAGTAATGCAATATACAGGGTGAGTCAGAAAGAATGGGAAATCCGAATACCGGAGACACTAGACACGAAAATATGACGATTTAACCTAACATAACATGTCTTATACAAATGTCGGTGGTTTTGAATACACAGGGTGTTGAAAGTTAAATTTTTATTTCGCAATTTCGCCCTCTACGAGTAATCACAAAACAAATATCAAATTCGTATTTCTCATGCTCGAAAACATCTAACTACCAAATTTTATGTTAATAGTACAAAAACCTTCAAAATTATCAAGAAATTTCGAAACAAGAATTTAACTTTCAACACCCTATGCCTCGAAAACCACTGACATTTGTATAAGAGATATTACGTTAAATCATCATATTTTGATGTCTAGTATCTCCGGTATTCGGATTTCCCATTCTTTCTGACTCACCCTGTATAAGTTCCGATTCTAAGAATTTTTCTGTTTTATCTTTTAAAGTTGAGAAATATTTATTTAATTTTTTTGGGTTATATACCCAAAAATGAATGTTAAATTATCTCGTTTTAAATGTATTCAAAGTAATTCTGTCAATCCAGGAATATATGGAATTTTTTTATATTGTTTTAATTGTGTCGATGTATTAAAATTTTTACCAATGTTATGTTGTAAATTAGTGGAAAATAGTACTTTATTAAGGAGTTTTCTTGGATAACCATTATTTTCAAACATATTACGTAAAATTTTCAGATTCTTATCTTTAAACTGTGGTTCGACTATACTACATATTCTATGTTTTAAAGTAAGCACCGTAGCAATTTTATGTTTGAAAGTGTGGTTCGAATGAAAATTTACATATCTACCAGAATATGTTGGTTTTCTATACCAATCAAAAATAATTTGGTTTCTTTCATCTCTAATCATTATAGTATCCAAAAACGGAATACTTCTGTTATTTTCTCTTTCGATAGTTTATTTATTAATTTATTACTTAGTTTATGCAAAATAAAATACACTTTAAATCGCAACTTATGTTTTACTATTATAAGTTTAAAGAGAAAGGTTAAACTTGTGATTTTTAGAAAATTAGGATGGTCAGATTATTCCATATTTTTTTAGTTTTCTAAAACTTTTATTATATTAGAGGTTGGGTTCACTGACGAACGCGTCGGTCAAGCTGATCACACACGTGTTCAATAGGATTCAGGTCAGGACTTAACGCCGGCCATTCCATGACCTGAATTCCACGTTCTTGCAAAACCTTACTGGTGATGCCGTCAGGCTTTGCATTGTCCTGCATTAGGATGAAATCTTGACCGACCTCATATAAAGCAGGCACCACATGATCCTCCAAGATGTTTTCGATTTAATTCATGGCATTTAGTCTACCAGGAACAACAACAAGATCAGTTCTGTTATCTATACTGATTCCAGCCCAAACCATAACAGATCCCCGACCAAATCTATTCACTTCCTGTATAGTAGCGGCTGCGTAGCGTTCAGCTTGATGTCTATATACATGTGCTCGACCGTCGCAACGAGTTAAACGAAATCTGGACTCATCTGTAAACAGTACAGGCGTCCAGTGACGAAGTTGTCAATCTCTGTGATCCAGAGCAAATCTCATTCGCGCTGCTTTGTGATGCTGATGCGGACAGGTCTTCTAGGTTTCAAATTCGCTTCTTTTAATCTGTTTCTAACAGTTTGATCAGAAATTTCTATTCCATATGCTCGTCTTAGGTCGTTTAGGAGGTCTCGTGCTGTGGCAGTACGCGTACGTAGACAGGAAAGAACAAGAAATCGGTCTTGTAACATATTGGCCAGTCTCCCGAAACCGATCCCATAAACGCTGAATAACAGAAGGGGAAACTCGAAGATCTCTGCTAACATGTCGAATAGACATTCATTTACATTTTTAAGTGTAACTTAGAAGTAACTAAGAGTTGTGACATTGTTTTTGTAATTTTCTNGTTTTCGATGTAATTCATGGCATTTAGTCTACCAGGAACAACAACAAGATCAGTTCTGTTATCTATACTGATTCCAGCCCAAACCATAACAGATCCCCGACCAAATCTATTCACTTCCTGTATAGTAGCGGCTGCGTAGCGTTCAGCTTGATGTCTATATACATGTGCTCGACCGTCGCAACGAGTTAAACGAAATCTGGACTCATCTGTAAACAGTACAGGCGTCCAGTGACGAAGTTGTCAATCTCTGTGATCCAGAGCAAATCTCATTCGCGCTGCTTTGTGATGCTGATGCGGACAGGTCTTCTAGGTTTCAAATTCGCTTCTTTTAATCTGTTTCTAACAGTTTGATCAGAAATTTCTATTCCATATGCTCGTCTTAGGTCGTTTAGGAGGTCTCGTGCTGTGGCAGTACGCGTACGTAGACAGGAAAGAACAAGAAATCGGTCTTGTAACATATTGGCCAGTCTCCCGAAACCGATCCCATAAACGCTGAATAACAGAAGGGGAAACTCGAAGATCTCTGCTAACATGTCGAATAGACATTCATTTACATTTTTAAGTGTAACTTAGAAGTAACTAAGAGTTGTGACATTGTTTTTGTAATTTTTTTAGTTAAATATATGCCTTTATAAATGTTTCAAACGCGGTTTTCTAATTATAGAGAGGGCAATCTTTACCTAAATTAGTTACAAGTGCATGCTGTTTGTTAATGTCAAAGTACTGTACTGTACTCTGGTTTTACCATTATTTTTATCTTGCGAATTTTTCTCGCATATAATTATTATAAGCGAAAAAATTTGATAAAAGTTATTGGTAACCGTCATCACAAAAGTGATGAATTCAAAGTGTGGGTGGGTGTTCACCAGAGCTACTTAATCTTGTGATGGATATGTATGCGAAGAAGATCCTAGAACCACTACCCTGGAATCTACTTCATCTCATATGCAAAATCTTCATACAACCGAAATGAAAATGTTATAATGGTCGGGAGGTATGACAAGGCCAGATAGGATCCGGAATGAATTGTTCGCGGTAACTTTAAGGTGGCCCCTGTGATTGAGAAACATACGAAGAGTTGCCTGAGATGGTGCGGCTAGAGACGTAGAGACGAATATCATGTTATAAGAAAAGCGCTAAGCGTCCCAGAGAACAGAAGAGAAAAAAGGCGACCTCCATCTACCTGGTGGACAAGCATGACCATGACTTTAAATGAAAATAGGTTATCTGAATCGACGACCCAGGGCATAATGTTTTGACCCAGAAATATTAGGAGAGCCGACTCCACTAAAGTAGGAATATGCAAAGAAGAAGAAGAAGCTCATGAAAAGTTTTATAACAATTACATTCCTGACCTTTTATAAAAGTTAATTATGTATTAACAATAGGTAATCTGAATTTAGATCGGTTTTTGTCAATTTGTCCTCACAGTCAAATTTTTTGTCCGACCATCTTCTCGCATGTTGGACGAGAATCTTATCTAGCAAGTGTGGCCTTGATAGGCCTAGATTGATTTGTTATTAAACCAATTTCCAACTGTCACTTGTTCATCATTACGCACAATACAATCATAAGAACCACGTTCCATTTCTCTTAGAACGTTATCCGTTTTCAAATAATCTGATTTATCTTTCACTGATTCTTTACAATTCTTTTTTATAGTTCTTTCCTTCTTTAGCACCTTATTTTTCATTAAAATGCCCGTACCATACAATTCCTTTATTTTACGACTTTCAAAAGTGATGTAGAGGTCCAACATCAGTATCGTTCTTCCACGAAGAAGGTGGACAAAGCTGATTCCACTGAAAACCCTTCATACCCTTCTTACCTTCGCACAAATATAAATTGAATGGTCATCTGTCAGAATTCGCTGCTTAAAAAATTTGTATTTCTTCCGGATTTGGCTTCGGTTCCACCAGTTGCTTTTTGGTACATCTTCCTGTGTAAGGCTAGACCTCCTCTTTTCTGAAACTATTGGATGTAGTTTCCAGAAGCAATTATATTATTAGATCGTGTTGATTTTGGAATGTCACACTTTTTCAGCGTTCTCCACAACTGACGGTGCTATTACTGACTTAAGGAAAGCGCTAACGCGCTGCTTGGCTCTGCGTCAAAAATTGCTTTTGAATTGTTAATCATCCCGGGAAGAATGTTGGGTAAGGTTAGGATTGTTTATCAGGAGCTCAAGTAAAAAAATGTTCTAAAATATGATCGTTATGCAATACCAGGTAGATTTTCGACAATAACAACACGCTCTTTCTACTCAACCCTATCGTATCTACTATGAATAGTCGACCAGTTAGTTTTAATTGAAAAAAAAACAAGATATATAGGCTACTTATGATGATACCTTACATTTCGTTCAGGCCAACAATTTCAGTTAAAAATCTAACTGCTAACATAATGAGTTAATGTTTAAATCTAAAATAATACATTTATTATTTTTTTTTAGATCGATGCCAACGAAATATCATTGCGACGTATAATTGGAATTCATAAAGACCAATTTATTTTGAATAAAAAGAACGCGACGCGCACAGAAGTAATGAATTATTTAGAATCCGCTGGATTTACGAATTCAAATCCTTATTACATCGTAAAACAAGGAACGGTACTTAAAATGATGAATTATTCTTTATTATTTTTTCTTAAATTATTTAATTTTTTAGATTAATCAAATGGCACTAGCATCAGATTCTCACCGCTTAAAATTACTTAATGAAGTTGCGGGAACGAAACTCTATATTGAAAAAAGGGAAGAATGTTTAAAGATTTTCAAAAATGCAGAACTGAGACTTAAAAGAATCAGTGAAGATCTCGATACTCTCGATAAAACATTAAGTACACTCGAAGAGCAAAAAAAGGAGTTAAAACAATATCAATATTACAATCAAAAGAGAAGTGCCATTCAGTATAGTATTGGTAAAATCAAATTAAAGAAATATAACACAGAATTAAAAAGTTTCGATGAAGAGGAAAACACATCTAGTTTTGAAAAGAACGAAATTGTCCGTAATTTCAAAAAAATTCAAGAACAAATCCAAGATTTAATGGAAAAATCCAAAAATACCAAAAATGAATTGAACATGATTAAAGAAAAACGTAACAGTTTAAGTAACGAGAGGGAAAATTTAATTAAAAAAAGTATTAAATTAGATTTTACTGTAAATAATTTACTCGATGAAATGGTCGATGATAAACAATCTAAAAAGAATCTTGAAAACGAATTAACTCAACTGGAGTTAACTATTAAGGAGCAAGAATCAGAATTGGATAAAGTTAACGCACAATATGAGGCAATGAAAAGAAAGGAGGAGCAATCTGTTATAAATTTAACGTTAAAAATTCAAAAACAAAAAGAGTTAATTGGCAAAGAACATCGTAGACGCCATTTCACAGTTAAAGACGATCGTAATCGTTGGATACAAAATGAATTAAAGTAATAGTAACGCAAGTTTTTATAAATTATTTATTAAATATGTATTTTTAGGTTATTGGATAATCATATTAAAGAGAAGAAAAATAACATCGAAAAATTTATTGCGGATTTAAAACAAGATGATGAAAAATACACACTTTTAATTAATAAACTTGAAACCCATAAGCGGGATATTGATGGACAAAGAGTTCTTATTGAAGAACATAACAAAGAATGTTATGAATTGAAAAGGAGCAACGATCAACAGCAAACAATCAAAAAGTAATTAACAAATATTTCTTCTCAAATATTCTTCTTTTTTATTTAATCTTTGTATGTATTATTTGTTAAAGTGAATTATGGCGTAAAAAAAACACGTTGGAACAATATTATTCGTCTCTTAAAGGAGATCTATTAAACGCCGAACAATGTTTACGTTCATTGATTGGAAAAGCGATTTTAAAGGGATGCGACAGTGTTCGAAAAGTATTGGCAACGTTTCGAGAGCGAGGTGAATCATACGCTGAAATTGCCAACTCATATTTCGGATTGGTTATAGATAATTTTAATTGCGACAAAACAATTTATACGCCCGTTGAAGTTACAGCCAAAAATAAATTGTTTAATCATATCGTTGAATCTGATTACGTTGCAACGATGATCCTTAAAGAAATTAAACAACAAAAGTTACCAGGAGATGTCGTATTCGCTGCTTTAAATCGATTAAAATCGAGACAATATGATTATCCACACAACAAGGTAATAGTTATTTAAATAATTTATAAATAAATGACGTATATATGTATAGTGCATATAGGCTGTTTAAAAAAGGTAAATTATGAGGAATTTAAAAGGAATAAATGATAAACTATCCCTTAGATATTTTATCAGGAGGATAGTAAAAGTGGTCACCACTTTTACTGCAATTTTTCTATCTTAAATGAATGCGAAATAATTAAATATTAAGGTAATTTTTCTCGAACATTTTTTTATGTACCTAATATTAATTTTGACTGTACTAAATTCAGAATAAAACCTCTTTCATATTCCGTAATAAAAATGAAGGATTACTATTTGAAAAAAATATCGATGAGGTCATAAACCGTTTAAAAATGGTGGAAAAAATTTAAAATCTACACCAAAAATTGCAAATATTCATATTTTTAGTCCCGTCTAAGTTTTTCCATAGTGTTTTTTCCATAGTTGTTTTAACGAATTTATCCGTTACTTTTGGGAAACACTGGTACTTTCGGTACCGGTTTCGACTTAATAAAATGTCATCACCAGCCGAATAGTCAAAGCACCAATCAAAACTACACAATTTAAAATCAACATTACACTGGCATTTAAAATAATGTTAAAACTTAAAAATAAGATAAAAATTAAACATAACACGAGTCAATACATTTAGATACTGCAATTTATAATTTATTTCCAGTGTTGATTAGTGCTTTCACTATACGGCTGATAATTACTTTTTAAAAAGGCGAAAGCGGTACTTAGTACATTTAAACAAAAAAGGGAAGAAAGAAGTTGCAAAGTTTATTTTTGTTTTAATTTTATCTTAATATTAATTTTGTGTTTGCTCTAAAGAAGACAATATAATTCTCTAATTCCACCAACTGCTTTTATTCTTCTAGAAGACTGTTCATCAAGTAAGAGTAGTCTTTTGATAATGTAGGGTCTTTTGTACACACTTTTTATATCAACACCTTACCTTTGTACGTAATAACCCGTGCGACGATAGCAACAAACTTTTACCCGTAATTTCCTATTTACTTTCTTAGCTGACATCTTCCTTATTATTAGAGGTAGCGAAAAACTAAATGCACCACTTGAAAGCTTGAATCTTTTTCAAAAACCGGGTTTCGTCTGCCGATAAGATATGATCTTGATATTAAGATCAATAAAAAATGAAGAACACCGCCCTGTACTTAAAATACCTTAAAATTACCAAATTTCAATTTTTAATTGCAAAAGATGGAATTTGAATTCAAAAATTTATCGTCCATTATATAATCCAATATATACCTACACACTGTAGTTATTCTCATGCCTCGTTTTTTTTTGTTCTCCCGTTTAGAAATTTAAGGTGTTTTATTAATAAAATTTGAATTTCATTAACTTTTTGCTTTTCATTCTCCCTTTGTTGTTCACACATACAGGGTGATTCACATAAGAGCCGACACAGAGCAGGGACATGTAGAGTACAATAAATTAAGATAATTTCTTCTCCTTCTTCTTCTTCTTAAAACCAGGGGTAACCACTTGGTGTCTGGGGTTATATAGCCCTTTTATAGTTTCCGATATTTCTGGTGGTTTTTATGACTTAATTGCAGTCATATAACGAACAAAGATGGGGTTGTATACAGGTAGTTTACGAACCCCAAACTCTGGCGTGAGTTGTTCAGGTCCACATTAACGAAAATTTTAATAACATAATATTTAAAAACTTAAATATCATTACTTTGTGTGAAAATACAACAATTTATTTAAATCTATCTAAAAAGTACATTTGTTTAAATAATTTATGATTATTATTATAAAATTTATTATCTTTTCACACTAATTCTAAGATAATTATAAAAAATATGTTTTAATTTTNGTAAGAGTAGTCTTTTGATAATGTAGGGTCTTTTGTACACACTTTTTATATCAACACCTTTGTACGTAATAACCCGTGCGACGATAGCAACAAACTTTTACCCGTAATTTCCTATTTACTTTCTTAGCTGATATCTTCCTTACTATTAGAGATAGCGAAAAACTAAATGCACCACTTGAAAGCTTGATCTTTTTCAAAAACCGGGTTTCGTCTGCCGATAAGATATGATCTTGATATTAAGATCAATAAAAAATGAAGAACACCGCCCTGTACTTAAAATAGCTCAAAATTACCAAATTTCAATTTTTAATTGCAAAAGATGGAATTTGAATTCAAAAATTTATCGTGCATTATACAGGGTCATCCACGACGACCGTCCATTAGAACTTTAGAGGGTTCTGGCCAATACAAAAATTTGAAAATTCAGATTTAAGTATAGGACATATGGGATATAAAAGATGTAAAATGAGACACCGAAGACGACTAAGTAATAAAATATGGGGGGTGCCATTTAAAAAAATGAAGTTATGGTATTTCCAAATTTCGAAAAGTTAACGTGCCGTAGTAAAGTGACCAAACGATCTAGACAGCCGTACTCGGCACCAAAACACACTCCATCATGTTGCTTATGTATGTTCTGAATCCTAAATTGATATCCCAAAAATCGAGTGTTCTCTGATTTTCTTAACAAATGTCTGCTGGAGCAGATTTTTCTAGAAAAATTCGAATAACTCGAGAACGGCTGAATCAAATTGCAAAAAGTAAAGTTATTCATAAACCTTGAAAATAGACAAATCCAAATATGTAAAAAATATAGGGTGTTCCATTTAAAAAAATAAAGTAGGTGGCGACTTCCGGTATAACCGGAGGTGCTAGAAATCTGAAAATATTTTAGTCGAAGAGAACGCAATTAATAATACTTAAATCTGAATTTTCAAATTTTTGTATTGGCCAGAATCCTCTAAAGTTCTAATGGACGGTCGTCGTGGATGACCCTGTATAATCCAATATATACCTTAAGGGGACACAATCCGGGGACACACTGTAGTTATTCTCACGCCTCGTTTTTTTTTGTTCTCCCGTTTAGAAATTCAAGGTGTTTTATTAATAAAAATTTGAATTTCATTAACTTTTTGCTTTTCATTCTTCCTTTGTTGTTCATACATACAGGGTGATTCACATAAGAGCCGACACAGAGCAGGGACATGTAGAGGACAATAAATTACGATGATTTCTTCTCCTTCTTCTTCTTAAAACCAGGGGTAACCACTTGGTGTCTGGGGTTATATAGCCCTTTTACCACCAGTCACAATTTTTTTTTGTATCGGTTTATCTTCAAATTAGGTAGCCCCGTGGGGAGATAAAGTTCAAAAATAACTCAAATAATAAGAACTACCGGAAGGGGGGAATGATCCTTCCTTACTACCTTAACCCACTAAACTAGCGAACGGCGTCAGATGTACATCCTCGGGTCAACCCCTCGAAAGGATGAACATCTACCGAACAGTTATACATGCATTAAAAAATAAAATCAAACAAAAATTCTTATCTTGCACAAAAAATAAAAAATCATTCTCAAAACTTTAGCGTTATTGGTCGCCAAAAGTAAACTAACATTATATGGAGGAAAAATACGCTCCCTTCTCAACTTAACAAACATTCTACTTCTATCCAACTCATACGTTTCACAGGCCAAAATAATGTGGTTAAGACCACAAAATTCTCCGCAACTGCAATTTGGAGAATCCGCCATGCCAATCCTATACAGATATGCAGGAAATATGCCATGTCCCACTCTCATGCGATTAATTGTAGATATCATGTGTTTACATTCTGAAGGCAGTAGCTTATATCATGCCCCTTCTCTCACATCCCTCTCAATCAACCATAAGGCTCTGCCCTTGAATCTGCTACTATCATCCCAATCCCGCTGCCACAAATCCAATACATCCCTCTTCAATTCGTAGACAATGTCACCAACGTCTTTGCGTATCTGATACCATGGACCAGTCTCCCCCGCCGTCAGACCACCCGTCCTCTCATTCCCAACAATTAAGATGATTTAACGTAACTTACCTGTATACTAAGTTGTACACCTGAGGAGTTATAGGCCCTCAAAATTGGCTCTTAAATTTTTAAAAACTTTGTAATACGTTAAGCTAGAAAAACCAAATTTGGTATACATTACGAGTACACCAAGGGTATTAATTGGTAGCAAATTGAACTCAATTGAGGCATTTCAAAGTGTTGATTAAGGGTGATGGTACCATAAATTTTGACAGATTTTTTTAACCTTTTGGCGGATTTAATACATTATTACTTCATTTCATGTGGAATTTAATTCTAAAACATTTCTTACTCTTATTATTTTTTTAAAAACTGTCGTTTTCATAAAATACTTAAATAACTAAACACACGTATTTCGTAATGTTACTAAAAATAGGTGAAAATTCTGTCGGCTATGAAATTGTACGTCAAACTTGACAAATAGGTTATAAAGTTATTTTTTGATGACAAGGTTTTATAACCTACTAGCTGTACCCTGCGCGTGTTGCTACGCCACCAACTAAAATAAATTTGAAGGAAAGACATTACGCAAATATTCACAAATATTCAATTCATTTTGAGTCATTTTGAAAATCAGCATTCGGGAATTGTCGAAAATTGGTCGTGCCAACTTGGAAACCTTCGTGGGCTCATGCACAACACTTTACTACAGATCATCACAAGCATAGTTTACGATTCTATAAAGGACATACAGACAAACATTCATTTTTATACAGTATGTCCCCGGATCGAGTTGCAAAGAGGAAAAAAAAATTTATTACTGATTTTTCAAACTTATCTCAGCATAAATAATGCGACGGATATGTTCAAACCACTAAATCGCAAGAACTTTATATTCTAACTATAGAAGTTAACTAATTATTCCCATTTTTATGTAAAAATTATACTTTTCCTAAATTAAAAATTTTTCAAGTTCAATTTACGATATGTAACCATAGAAACCAATAAAATAAAATAAAAGTTACAACTTATGTTAGTGAAAAATATACGAACAAATCAAATTAAAATATGGCTAATTGAATAAAATATTTTAAATGTAAATTTTTGTAATAACACAGTAAGTAATAAATATTATTTATTTGTAAGT